TGATCCGCTCCTTTAAAGATTATAACCTAGAAAACCTTTGGGGCAGTTCTACTGTCACAGGATGTTGATATGAGTCAAAAATAGACTTCATGGCACCTAACAAAAACAACAATATGTACGTGTATATAAATACATACATGCACACACTTACATGGACATACACAGAGAGAGAAAAATTGAAGGAGATTGAGAGAGATTGATTTTCTTGAGGTTCCTAGAAAGGTATTGGTTTGGAATTATGGAATAATCACTTGGGTCCAGGGCATGGGTTTGGCTACCTGGCACTGACAATCTAGAAAATTCCTTCATATACCTGAATTTTCCTTCCTTTGGCATTAGGGTGTCTAATTGCTTTAATTTTGTTCTTTGTAAGATTAGGAAAACTTACTCTCCAGTGCCTCAAGCATATTACTTAAAAAAGGGTATACTATATTAGTATTTGCTGAGGACAAGATAGCATCTAACCAAATAAAAACCAAGTGATTCTCTGCCCCTAGCAAGGGGAACTATGTCCTCATATGTAGAATTCAAAATAGAAAAGATAGGAACAAATTAATTTATTTAACAAACACTTACATGGAGCTCTGGTGGTATAGTGGGTAAGACATTTATTTGTCTGTTAACTTCAAAGTTGGTGGTTCAAACCCACCAGCTGCTTTGCAGGAGGAGAGTGAGGCAATCTACTTCTGTAGATTTAAAGCCTAGGAAACCCAATGGGGATCACTGTGAGTTGGAATTGACTCGTTGTCAGTGGGTTTAGTTTTTTTTATATGGCAGTCACCACATATTTGGTACCTTGCTGAGTGCCTTAGAAATACAAATTCACAAAAAGTAAGTTGGTACTGTTATTGTGTCCTCACAGATGAGGAAATTAAGGCAGGAGAGGTTCCCCTGTGGCACAGGTCAGAGAAGTATCGACTGGTTATGATATATGACTCCAGTTCTCTCACTAAACATTCCACTGTATGGGAAGAGGGAGTTCTTGTGGCGTAGTGCCTAAGAGATTTGACTGCTAACCAGAAGGCTGGTGGTTCAAACCCATCAGCCACTCCTGGGAAAGAAGATTGGGCAATCTACATCCATAGAGATACCTTCTTGGAAACCCAAGGAGGGGTTGCTATGAGTCAGAAACAACTCGACAGCAGTGAGTTTGTTTTTGTTTCTTTGGTATGGGAAGACACCAAGTCCCAATAAAAGGGTCAGGCATCTACAAAGCTGGAGATCAAAGGCAAGTGGGAGATGAGAAAGCATTCCAGGCTCAGGAGGTGACTATATAGGAGTAAGTCAGTCATGGCAGAGCTAAGCAGCTGCTGCCAGCCCTGCTTCGGCTTTCTTTGGCCCCATTGGAATGCTCTTCCTGTGGCCCAGTAGCACAGTGACCTACTAAGATCCTGTGGAAGGATACATGTGAACACATTAGAGAAGTTATTACTTCTTTGTTCTTAGGCAATGGGAGATAAGTTGGGATCTTGTAAATCTATAAAGAAAACTCACTAGGGACTAGAGCTTAGTATCTCTGCCCATTGTTGAATTCTGGTGTTTTTACTGAGGCTTCCTCTGTCTTTCTGAGTGAATTTCTCTAATAGCATTAAAGAATCTTGAAATAACTGGTTTACTGTTCAGAGTTTGGTGTTTTAAAATGCCAGCCCAAGAGCAGATTAAAGGGTATGCTAAAAGGTGGCAGAAAAACCACACTATCACAGGGCCCAGGCGCACCTTGGCTTACAAATGCTGTGTTTCTGAAAAGTCATAAATCAAATAATGTTAAAAATGAGCCCGGGGAGGTGTCCCATGCAGTAGAAACTCTGTGGGAACCTTTGCAAGGTGAGTTCATCCTTTTGTAACCATGGCTGAATTATAGTCAATTTTGTATACCTACTGCTTCCTAAATAGGTTTCAAGTCAGGTATTCATTAGAATGCTATGTCCATTTGAGAGTCACAGGTAGAGAGGGCTTGAAAGAGAACGAAACAATTATCAAAGCTTGAGCTCATATTATACCAAGACATCCTTACTTTTCATGTATAAACACTTATGTCTGAAGCACCTGTTAAACCACCAGGAAAGGATAGTGTCCAGTTTGCTCTTGCAGTATGTGTGTGTGTGTGTGTGTGTGTGTGTGTGTGTGTGTCCCTGTCCCTTCCCATCTTAATAATAAACATATGCAGGTAGACTTAGGAACTTTCTCTCCCTTTCCCGATAAACATGTTGTTGATAAGCTGCTCTATTGTTGAAAATCTAAGTGCAGCTTTAACTCTAAGGAGTGGCCCCTGGAAAGAATTGCATCCTACCTCAAGGAAGAGTGAAAGCCAGCATTATTGTTGATCAGCCTATTTTGGAGATGATCCACTTATACACAAGAAAAAATTTGGAGACATAGTTATTTATTCAGTCAGGAGATAAATAATAATCCACTACTCTGCTAGTGTATTTAACTATGAGCACTGACTTTGGTTATGGCAAGATGCATCCATTTTCTATAATAAGACAAGTTCAGCCAGCCCAAAGCTGTCCAAGGTTCTCCTTTCAGAATAGAGCTCCTCTAATTCAAACATGTTGCAATTTCTAGACTAAAGGAGCAGAAGGTAACCATTAGTAACTTTTGTGTTCTTTATGGTTTAAGTTTGAAAAATCATTCAAATATTTGTTTAAAGACATATATTTAGTCACTGACTGACTTGGTGAGTTTAGATTTTGGGTGGGGATAAAGGAAGGGAAAGAGTCATGTCAAACAAGGCTTTGACTCCCAGCTGCACCTCTCCATAGTTACTCAGGGATAGCAACCCCCATCTCTCAGATTCCCTGCAGATCAAACAAAATAATGCTAGGTGAAAAGTATGTTGTTGTTGTTGTTATGTGCGGTTGAGTCGGCCCCGACTCATAGCGACCCCTCCTTGGGTTTCCAAGGCAGTATCACTATGGAAGTAGGATTGCCCAACCTTCCTTCCAAGGAGTGGCTGGAGTATAGTGCACACTAAATGACAAGTGACAACTTTGTGCTTAGCATCTATAATAAATTTATTTTCTTTGCTGCAGTTCAGTAGAAAATCTGATAACCTGGTAACGTCACTCCCTGTTTTGTTTCATTAACATCATTACTGATATAAAGAGGATTTTTATTCAGGAGCTGAAAGAATGAGAATCACAGCAATTATTAACCAGTACATCTGTGTGTAGTACTTGTGAGTGTCAGAGCTGTCCCAGCCCCACCAAACAACTAAATCAGAATTCTAGGGAATAGGCTTGGGTGCTTGAGGCTCAGACGTCACAGCTAATGACCTGCCCTGGCTAAAGAACAAGATGTTATTATTTACTTCCTGTTAGTAGTAAATATTCTCATGCAGATGAACTCTGGAACGTTGTTTAGTAGCAGTCAGAGCATTATTGATATTCTTTGTTGTTAGTTGCTGTGGAGTCTGCTCTAGTCATGGTGACTCCATGTATAAACAGGAAGAAACACTGCTTAGTTTTGTGGTATCTTTAGGATCCTTGGTATGCTTAAGTCCATTGTTGTGTCTACTGTGTATTTTGAGTGCCTACCAGTGCAGGGAGTTCGTTGACCAGCACTATTGTAGACAGTACTCTGTTGTGAATGATAGAGTTTAACTGACTGATTTTTAGAGTGGATCACCAGGCCTTACTTCCTAGTCTGCCTTAAGTGTGGAAGCTGTGCTGACCTTCCACCTTGGGTGACTCTGCTGGTATTTGAAATACTGCATCTTTGATGCAGCATCACAGAAACACACAAACCACCACACTACAACAAACTGACAAATGGGTGGTAAGTTGATATTCTTTATTTGTAGCAATAGGAGAACTAGGACAATTTGGAGAATCTTTCAGAGTTCTGGCTTCACATCATGGTTTTGCTGTTTGATGTTAGGACCCTCAGCAGCACAGAGCTGCTTAGGCTTGGCAATGAATGTCTGAGCTGCCACCATCAATCGCCTGTATATTTATAGTCATGAGTGAGTTCCAGATCTTCAAACACTCTAGTGATGACACCAGGACAACAATAATGATGATCTGAATAATTGTGACTTATTAAGAAATAGCTAGAAATAAAGGACCTGTGGTTTTTTGAAAAATTTATACTAAACTTCTCAGGAAATTTGTAAGAAGAGAGAGGTCAGCGCGAATACAAATACATTCTTCCGGGCAAATGTAAAAGAAGATACAAATGAAAAGTTTTGTTCTTTGGGATAGACTGAGAAACACAGTGGGATACACTGTGGCACAGTGGCTAAAGTGCTTGGCTGCTAACCAAAAAGTTGGTGGTTTGAAGCCACCAGCTGCTGTACAGGAGAAAGATGTGGCAGTCTGCTTCTGTAAAGATTTACAACCTTGGAAACCCTTTGGGGAAGTTCTACTCTGTCATACAGGGTTGCTATGAGTTGGAATCAACTCGATGGCAGTGGGTTTGATTTTGGTTTGGGATAGTCTGAATGACTACTTCACTCTCTTAGCAACAATAATTGCCAGAGATGAAAAACATTATGAAATTTTTTGACATTCAAAAAAGATAATTGGTTTAGGTATTTTGTCTAGGGAAAATGGCATAACTGTTTAGCTAAGAGGAAAGCTATCAAATTCTTCAACTAAAAATTGAATTGTATAAGATACATTATTTGATAAGCTGAAAATGTAGTGCCTTGAACCTATGAGTAATACACTTTGTGTTAATTGACCTTAAAAGATACAATTCAATGCCTGTCGATTTAACTAAAAATATAACTATTTTCTCACCTACTATGCTTCTAACATACAGGTTGCTTCTTCAGTGGTATTGTTTATTAGTATTGAAAAATGTTAAAATATTGCTATGAAATTCATGTCTGAAGAACTGATGGGCTGCTGTTGTCTTTCTAAGCAAAACCTGTTCATTCATTCACTCATTTATGCAATCATTTGCTGTACCGTGACTTACCTAGACAGAAATAAGAGTGCAGTTATTCCTAATAACTGTTTCTTTCTTTCTTTCTTTCTTTCTTTCTTTTTCAGCCATGCAATGATAGACCTATTGGTTGAACTTTGCCTTCAGAACCACCTGAATCCATCCCACCATGCTCTTGAGATCCGGTCTTTGGAAACCCAACAACCTTTGAGTTTTAAGCCAAATACTTTGGTTGGGACCCTAAATGTGCATACCGTGTTTCTGAAAGAAAAAGTTCCTGAGGAGAAGGCTAAACCTGGGCCATCTAAGGTTCCTGAGGTCAGTAGGGTGGGAGAACCCTTATTATCTAAGGACATACATGAATATGTATGTAGATGAGGGTGTTGGGGATGCTGAGTAGGGGCCAATGGAGCTCTTAATATCTAAGTACTACCTCAATATCTATGTGTGCTTGAGGTTTCCACTTCTATGCTATATAAAATAAGGCACTAAATTTAGTTTATTTTAGGAGATAGATACTTATTGTTGTGACATTTCTTCTTTAGATAATATAGGAGAAGATGAATCTTACGCAGAATTGTTCACTAGAACTTTCTGTGATGACAGAACTGTCCTATTATTCTGCACTGTACAGTAGCCACTGGTCACTATTAGCTATTGAACACTTGAAATGCAGGTAGTGGTACTGAAAAACTGAATTTTTAATTTTAATTAAATAAATTTCAATAGCTACAAGTAGCCAGTGCCTTCCCTATTAGAAAGTACAGTTCTAAAGGTCTTCATGTCATAGGAAGCAGTTGCATATATAGGGGATTAGACTGTTTTCCTAGAGAGAGGAAAAAAAGAAAGAATTTTTTCTTATTAAAATCTCACATCTAAAATATTTACTCATAGATGTCGGAGAATATCTTAACATATACATAGCTTAATTACAGGCTTTTGTTTATCAGTTGAAATTAACTCAGGCTGCTAATTGGACTTTTAAATAATGCTTGTATGTGGCTCTTTTATCTCCAGTTGAAAGTAGTGTTATTACAAGATTTGTTAGAGTTTCTTGGTTTTAAAAACAACAGTATGGTCAACTGTCTATCTCCTATGAATGTCCTAGGCTTTGGAGTCACATTGGATTGGATGGCTAATAGATTTTATTTGGTGCTTTTTTATTTGAATGATGGATGGTTAAATATTTTATTTGGTGTACTCTGTCAGGAGTAGTTTTTCCCTAATTCTTCAAGTAAAAATATTCAGGGAAGGGGAGCCATGTTTATATCCTGTGGTTTTTCTTACCTCCCTGGTTCCCAAGCATAAAGGGGCAATGAAGTCTGGGTAGGTGTATGATTCCTGTGTGAGAAGCAGAGTAAAAGACTGGTGTGTTCTGACCTGCCTCTTAAAGTTCCTCATCATGGCCAGCAGGCCTGGCACTCATAATGGAAGGGAGTGAGTCAATACATATTTGTTGTGTCTGCTTCTCCAGGATCATAGCACAAAAACCAAGAAAAACAAACTCACTGCTATCAAGTTGTATCCGGCTCATAGTGACCCCTGCTTGGGTTGCTGAGGCAGTATCACTGCAGAAGTAAATTGCCCAACCTTCCTTCCAAGGAGTGGTTGGTGGGTTTGAACCGCCAGCCTTCTGGTTATGCCTTAGGCACTATGCTACCAGAGCTCCTGATGATAGCACAATGTGGGAGATAATAAATGAAGACTAACAGTGGACTGGATGAATTTTGACATGTTACATATTTTTGATAGGCCACTTTATCTGTACACACCTAGAATCAACTCTAGTCAAATTGTTTTTCTTCTTGATTATTCTATGCTGTTTTAAAAAATAAAATCTTACATTTTTTTCTATTTTAAAATGTGTGTATTGTGTATATTTAAATATGGCTTTGTACACACACATAAAAACACACTATATATAATATATATATAGATGCATGTTTATATAGATATTCATATATTTACCTAGATATTTTGGCTTCTTAAACAAAAATTTGGTGATTTATTTTTTGATAAGGATTTTTCTTAATATAAATGTCCAGCAAGCACATGCAAACATAAAATTATCATATGATCTAGCACTTCCACTCTTATATTCAAAAACATTGAAAGCAGGAATACAAAAAGATGCTTTTACACCAATGTTCGTTGCAGCACTATTCACAATAGCCCAAAGGTGGAAACAGCCTAATTTTCTCCATCAACAGATGGATCAATAAATAAAATGTTTTACATACGTAAATGAAATATTACTTAGCCATAAAGAGAAATGAAGTTCTGATGCAAGCCACAATATAGATGAACCTTGAGAACATTATTCTGTGTGAAATAAGCCAGTCACAAAGGGTCACAGATATGATTCCACTTGTGTGAAGTATATGGGATAAGCAAGTGAATAGATATCAAAGTTTATTAGTGGTTACCAGGGATAGGTGGGAGCAAAGGGGTTAACAGAGGACTCACTGAGAAACACTGAGCTTCTGCTAAGGGTGATGGGAAAATTTGGTAATGGATAGTGGTGATGGTTGAATAGAACCTCTGGTGGCATAGTGCCTAAGGCATTTGACTGCTAACCAGAAGGCTGGTGGTTCAAACCCACCAGCCACTCCCCCAAAGGAAGATTGGGCAATCTACTTCTGTAGAGATACCACCTCAGAAACCCAAGGAGGGGTCACTATGAGTCAGATCCGACTCCACAGCAGTGAGTTTGGATTTTGAGAAAGGTTGAATAGCATGATAAATATAACTAATGTCACAGAATTACATATGTGAAGAATATGGAAAAGGCAAACTATTTGTTACATAAATATTTACCACAATAAAAAAATAAATTAAAAAATTATTCATAATACTTTTGTTTTCCTTTAGAAAATGGATATAGTGCTTTGGTTCATATCTGATCAGAATCCTTGAAAGATGGTATATGTGTTGATTTTAAACTTAGAGCCCTTCAATGATGTCATATTTCCTGTGTTAACAGTTTGCTTATTAGTAAGAGAGGTTCTAAGGTATATTTATTATTCTTGACGTTTGCTTTTCACTACTTATTATGCTCCTCGATTCACTGGACTTGATGAAGAAAGATTGGGGCTACACGAAACCTAGCCATATTAAATTCTCTTATTAAAATAGAGTTAAAGCCATTGGGGGAAGATGTACTTAAAGAATGCTTTTTGTTTGTTGTGCTTTTCCAGAAATCTGTACGTTTGGTAGTGAATTACCTACGAACACAAAAAGCTGTTGTGCGTGTGAGCCCTGAGGTACCTCTCCAGAATATTCTCCCAGTCATTTGTGCAAAATGTGAAGTCAGCCCAGAGCATATCATTCTCCTCCGGGATAACATTGATGGGGAGGAGCTGGAGCTTTCCAAGTCCCTGAATGAGTTGGGGATAAAGGAACTCTATGCATGGGACAATAAAAGAGGTGAGAGACCACACTGTGCCTTACACGCTTCCTTTCTGTAATAGCACATTGAGAAAACATATATATATGTGACCTGTTAGGTTTCCTCCCAACTTTCCATAATGCTAGGTAGAACTGTGTAAATTCAAACTTTGTCCAGAGCTGAAGTGGATAAAAAATAAAATTGTCTTGTTTTAATTCCTCCTCAATTGTGAGTATACATCTTTTACCCCAGCCCTAAATGGGTCTTTTACCCCATTTACTTGTGGGCACTGGAAAGATTAAAAAAAGAGGGAGAAACGATGAGAAAATTGGAAGGTACACTCTAGAAGAACTAGTCAAAAACCACACACAGTGTTCTTTTGACTTTTCTTTTCAGTTTCTATTAACTACTCCCATTTCAATCATTGCTCATATCCAAAGAAAGTGGCAGAAATGCATTTAGATGTCGCTTAACACTGATCAAATTAGAGTCATAATATTATATTAGCCTGCCTTCTTCTTGTTGCTAAAGACAACTTATTCATCGTGTGAGTTTGGTATTTAATGTTAAGGTTACAATCACAGCCACAGGTGAGAGCAGCAGGTCCCAGAAGGTGAATGCTGATATAAAAACTGACATATTGTGTAAGCATATTTTTCTGATCGATACAGGGGATTGACTGAGTGTATATTTAAACAACTTCCAGACTAATAAAAAGATTTACAGTGTTCCTTGACCTTATAATTATTAAAATAAACTTCTTGAAATTTCTACTTAAATGACTTTTAGATCCTTACTTGGTATCTGTTTTCTCGATTTTATTTATTCCACAAATACTGACTAGGTTAGGCTTTTAAAAAAAGATACATAATCAAGTTTTTCTAGTGTTTCTGCAAACTCTGCTTAAAAAAAAAAAACTAGGTTAGGCTTTTTAAAAAAGATACATAATCAAGTTTTTCTAGTGTTTCTGCAAACTCTGCTTAAAAAAAAAAAAAACACTTCTCTAGCACCTAGCCTAAACATTTTCAAATGTTTGAAATGGATACCCTGAAAATGTAGTTTTCTTACCACAAAATTTATCATGAAATCCATGATGATAGTGTATCCTTTGTCCAACTTACCCCCCAACCACAATCAGTCTACCTCTTCCTGGAGATTCTGAGTCCTAGATCTAATTTGAAAATCAAAAGAGAGATTTAGTTTAATTATAAAGAACATGGACTGTTTATTGCTTGGGAACAAGCAAGTACTCTGGCATTTGAAAACAATGTGCCTTGTGTTTTACCCAGTATTTTTTTTGTTGTTCTTTTTGATCCAGTATCTTTTTAAGACTCAGATAAGAATATTCTCACAATTCCCCATACCAGCCTGGTTGTAGCTGGGTGGGTCTGGTTATATCAGCTCTATTGAAATTGGATTTATGTGACTCTGTGGAAATAGAGCTTTCATTTGGCAAGACAAAAACACAAACTGGCCCACATCTAAGTATCTGAATGAAAAAGGCTTGCACAAATAAGTACTTTAGTTATAAGCCAACTATTCAGATATATTTTTAAAAGGCAAATACAGAAGCTACTACCTGGAAAAAGTCACATGAAACCTAAGTATTTCATCACTGCCAGGAATGTGGGAGCCAGAGCTTGCAGTGAGGAAACCTCATGCTCTTACATCCATGTGTCTGCCCTGCCCTTCTTATCCACAAGCAGGACGAAACAGAAGAAGATACTGGTATGGCTACCCTGGCTATTCAGACTTTGAAATACTTCTGAACTTAATGGAAAATGGCTCTCCTAAGCTGAGTCCCCCCTTTCTACCACCTTGGGCATCTGGCCTTTCCTCTGGGACCCCATGCAAAACCTTCTGCTACTGAATCAACTCTGAATCATGACATTCCCACGTATGTCAGAGTAGAACTGTTCCACAGAGTTTTCAGTGGCTGATTTTTTGGAAGTAGATTGCCAGCCTCTCTTTCAGGGCTCTTCTGAGTAGACTCATACTGTCAACCTTTTGTATAATAGCAGGAAATTAAGTAGTAATGGTATAGGAACAGAAAGAGAGGCTCTGGGGGCTCACCAACCCCACTGCAGCCCTGTGACCTGAATCCCTTTTCAGTTTGTCAGTGCCTCTGCCTCACTGGTTGTGAAATATCTTAATTATCATCCCCACCAAAAGACTTTATCCCATGATATTAATCCACAAATCATCCCAAGGCTGCCCCTGAACATCACTTTCTCTTTTGCAGCTGGCCTGGGCAGGCCTGTCCTAGGAGGCCCTGGAGTAGCCCTTTCCTCTTTTCCTCTAGGTTGTTACTAGCGGGGTGAGGGGGTGGTATCCCATCCTCAGCCCTGCAGCTGCTTGAGAAAGGGTGAGAGGAACCAGCAGCCAGAGGAGGAGGAGAAGAAGGAGGAGGAGGAGATGTGCTGCTCAGCCTTCTGCCTGTAGAGGCCCGCCCTCCTCTGGAATTCCTGGTAGTAGCATTTGGAAAAGATTTTGCTGCCACCTGCCTTCACAGTGGCTCTAAGCAGCTGTGGGGCTATGGAAATCTAGCCCGAAATGCATGTCTGACCCCTGTCTCATGCTGCACTTGGGTACAGTGGACTGACTTGGGCTGAGTGGGGGGCTGGGTCATGGACAGAGACTGCTGCAGATCTGAAGCTTGTCCTCATTCTTGCCCTGCCTGCCTTTTTCAGTTCTTCTGACCAAAACTCAGTCCGAGCCATCCCTGAGCTGTCGAGGTACAGTCAGTGACCACGCGGTGCTGCTCTTTTTGGCACCAGGCTACGCTTTGCATGACTCTGGCCTGGACGATGCACGGCGATGTCCTGTGTGTGAGGCCTGAAGGAATGGGAGTGTGGCTGCCAAACCTCTGGGGCTTTATGCTGTGCTGGAAGAGGGTTATGGTTTGGTTGTGGATTCCCTGGTTGATTAAGAGAGAGTAACCATAGTTTGAGAACTTGTTATATGATTGTATTTGAGAAGAAGGTTGTCATAGAAAACAAGCCTTTTTATAAACATAAAATTTCAGAGCGGAGAAAATATAGTATAAGTAGAAGAGATACCTGGGCTTATCTGTCCCCACCTGCCCCTGAGTTCTGTCTTGCATACTGTAGAATTTGGAGAAGTGTGGGTTTTTAAATTTAACCATTTTTGTCATAGACAAGTATGCAAATGAGTAGTACAGATGTTGCATTTTTCCTGATACTTACTCCTGATAATACGCATACTCACATACTCCAAAAGATTCATTAAAATGGTAAACACAGGGAAGAAGGGGAAAGAGTGCTGTTACATTGTAAGTGGAATGGAAAACCAATTTGCTTTGTAAGTTTCACCCATGTCACAATTAAAAAAAAAATGACAATGAATATTTGTGTGTTTTAGAAACTACTATCCATGTTTGTTAGTGTATTTAACAAAAGATTGTATTCCTGGAATATATAAATGAATGAAAGAAAAATTTGGCAGTAGTCTGAGAACCTGTAGTATATGGATGTAGAGTCTGAGAGAGCTGTAGCTTGGACCACTCTTAATATTCCTTATCTATTGTACATCTCCATCTTACAGTAGAAATAATTAATGAAAAGAGCAAAGACTCTTTTATGCGCGGATAGTTGTTCTGAGCTGAAAATTCATATATATGAAGTCTTTATGAGTTCTGGTTGATTTTGGGAGGATATTTGGAGAACAGACTAAGACAGTGGAAGTGAATCAAAGAGTGGTTGTTTATTACCATTGTGTACATATGCTTTAGTGATGACAAGCAGGACTTAGAAACTTGCACATTATATATAAAATCGCATATCAGAAAATGCAGACCTGCTTGTCTCCCCTCCTGTTTCCTTACTTAGTAACCTCGTTGTGGTCATTGAGCCACTCTGATTCTCAGTTTATACATCTGGAAAATTGGTCTTTAAGGGCACCATCATCTCCCTCCATACCCCACAATCCATCTCCATCATTTTCTCAGTCTTTTTAAAGTTTCAAAACAGTGTATACGTTCTCCTGGATTAAATATGGTCCCCCAAACTTGAGTTAACATTCAATATCTAGTAATTTGAATAAATTCATACAAAGTAAGTTTCATGCTCAGATTGTTGCAATTGTGGACTGTAGATCTTAATTGCATAAGACCTCCAGGCCTGGGAGGTGTGAGTTGTTACTTAAGCTCTTCATGTATAGTAGGGCCTCCTGTGGAAATTGAGGCTGTCACTGTAAGGAAACCAAACTCTCTTGCTTAGCTCTCAAACAGATATTTCTGCAGCATTTACCAAATTTCAGAGACCTCATAGGAGGTCCCTCTTTGTAGCTGAAGCCTTACCTCTAAAAGTAGATGGACTGCCTTAGGCCCAGCTCAGAGCTGTGAACCTTAGTTTCTGCCACCAACAGACAGCTGCAGGCTCAGTGACATGAAAAGATGCCTTTTGGACTTATTGTGTGTATATTTGTGTGTGATTTGGGTGAAAGTTTACAGAGCAAATTCATTTTCCACACCACATTTCGCATACACTTACTTTGTCTCATGACATTGACTCCAGTTTCCCACAGTGCAACAGCTCTCTTCCCACTTCCTCCTCATAGTTACCTCTTCTTTGTGTCCTTTCCTCCCATGCACTCCTGCTCCCCCGGGCTGTCTCACTGTGCATACACAACCCTTCTATTCTCCCATGACTGATCTCTCTAAGAAGTATATCTACCTACTGTAAATGTTCAGTTCATATGCCTATCTTTTGTTTGGCTGGAAGCCACAGGAGTGGGTTCAATTCCAGACCTGAAGGGCAGCTTGAAGCCATAGTCTCAGGGGTTCCACCAGGTACTATCAGACCAGCAAACCTGGTTCTTTTTTTTTTTTGGTGATTTTTGAGTCTGGTTCCACATTGTTCTCCCTCTCTATGCAGGATCTACTACATAGATCCCCTCCAAGTGGTTGACATTGGTAGCTGGGCACCATCTAATTCTTCTGGTCTCATGGTCATGTAGGCTGAGAATCGCATGGTGTACTAGTTGCTTGGACTATTTGTTTCCATGTGTTTTTGGTTTCCTTAATTCTTCTTTACTCTGGATGAGGAGAGACCCATCGTTGCATCTAGATGGCTGCTTGCAAGCTTTTAAGATCCCAGTTGCTACTCATTTTGGACTAACTTTTGTCAGTCCTTCGTCCAAGGGATTGACCACTGTCCCTGTTTAAACTGAAACCAAACTGACTGCCATCGAGTCAAATCAGACTCATAATGACCCCTCCTTGGGTTTCTGAGGCAGTATCACTACGGAAGTAGATTTTCCAACCTTTCTTCCCAGGAGTGACTGGTGGGTTTGAACCACCAGCCTTCTGGTTAGCAGTCAAATGCCTTAGGCACTACGAACGACACCAGAGCTCTCAAGGCTCATTTCTGTTGTAATTTTCAGGTCCAGTCTGTGATTTTTGTGGCTGAGCCAATAGCATATGTTCTAGTAACATGCATTATTCCTTACTTATACATATGACATTATGATATAGCACATTTTAATATATCCATTTCACATTTCACTCAATTCTAGAAACATTATTTGTTATAAATACATGTACTAATCCTTACTATGCATTATATAAATTTTTTACTTGGTATAGCTCTGTATATAATAATTTTGGTAAGATTAACTGAAATTTGTGACTCTGTGTGTGTATGTGTATGTATATGTAATCTCTATCTGTGCATCCCAATTGGATCTGGCCCTTTGGTTTGGGAATGTGTGTGATGTCTCTATGGGAGCTGCTTGCACTTAATTGAAAGCCCCAACTTTTTTTGACTAAAACATAGGCCTTTTGTTATTTATAACTTGACTTAAAGAGTACATGTGCTTGATTTTTGCTTTGTTGAGTATACAGTATAAGTATTAATATATACATTACCTGTTACTAATACACTAACTTTTATGTTTGTTCTCCAACTCGAAAATGAAGTTATCTATTAATAGATAAAGCAAGTTAATTGATATTTATCTTGACTGGATTATAATCTCATGTCAGAGTTTGTAAAATCCTAGTTCATCATCTTTCCATCAGCGGATGGGAAGTTTGGCACTCCAACAATTGGCAGTCAAGCTGGAACATTTTCTATACTTCAAGAAAACCTGAATGTTCCCATCTTTTGCCATAATTTTGTGTCTTGAAAGAGGAAAAGTGGATGAATTAATGACAAAGGCCTAAAGTAGACTTTAGCATTCATTTCAGCGAATGAATGAATACTAATTATCAGTAGTATGGTAGAGCTGTATGTGCCAGGCACTGTCCCTCAGTTAATTCTCATAAGGGCTCTAAGGGCATATTAGAGGCCCTTAGAGGATGCTTAAGCTGCAGTCTAGGGATCACACTTGAGAATCATTGGTATGGTGGTTAAGAGCACCATTAGGGATCTCTGGTGGCATAGTGTCTAAAGCATTTGACTGCTAACCAGAAGGCTGGTGGTTCAAACCCACCAGCCATTCCTCAGAAGGAAGGCTGAGAAATCTACTTCAGTAGTGCTACTGCCTTGGAAACCCAAGGAGGTCACTATGAGTCAGATCCAACATGATGGCAGTGTGTTGCATTTGTTTGTTTGTAAGGGCCCATTAAACCTTAGGGTGCTGAACCCCATCCCCAGAGTTTCTGATTAGAGAGGGCTGAAGTAAGCTGAAGGATTCACATTTCTTACGAATTCCCAGATTATCCTCCCAAATTTGGCAGCCACAGCCCTTGGTTATACTGTACGCTGCCTGATCAGTCTAGGCTTCTGTTTCTCACCTGGAAAATGAAACAACCCATTCTAGCTCTAAAATTCTGATAAAGAAAGCACCAAGAAAGAAAAATATTGGTAACTTAGAGCTCAAATGATGCTTTTCAAATATCCATTTAAATGAAGTGGGGGTGGGAATCAGCCCTCTAGAGAGTATAATTTAAAAATAAACCATTCTAGCTGAGGTAAATGAAGAAAAAATATGGAAATGTGGTCCAGAAATATCTGATTTGATTATCTCAAATACAAACTGTGTAAACTCTTCACCCTCACTGTTATCCTATGTTCTGGAATATGTGGGGTGTCTTCAGTCAGAAAAGTGTTGACTTATTTTATTTAAAGTTACATATTCACATTATACTTCCATTGGCCAGTGCTACCCTAGAACTTTCATTTATTTTATTTATTTATTTTTAAGTTCTGATACAGGCCAACCTCACCCACAGAAAATACCAACATGATGATTAAAAGATTGTAAGAACCTTTATGAACTTTTTAAATGGGCCTGAAGGTTATGAGGTACTTGAGAAACTTTAAAAGAAATAGTTTTAAAAATAGGTTTCCTCTTTTATACAACTAGAAGTTTAAGAATAAAGAACTAATTCATTGAAATTTTTAAAATTGACATATTTAATTTTTATTTCAAACATTGAAAGATAACTTAGTACTTTGTCATTTTTGTTTTTCAGAAACCTTTAGAAAGTCATCACTTGGCGATGATGAAACAGATAAGGAAAAGAAAAAATTCCTGGGATTTTTCAAAGTTAATAAAAGAAGCAATAGTAAGGTAATAGATTAAATATGCATATGATTATGCATTAAGCAAAAATAATTTCTTGAAATATCTATACACAGCCTATCTTGACATTTTTCCAAATAATTATATTTAGGAATATTAATTCCTTGGTAAAAGGAAACCTATCATTATGCACTGAAATGAATGATTTGCATTTCCAACCTTGATCCCTTAAGTAGTGATCTTGGGTGACAGTGTTTTATTTACTGGTACATCACAACGTTGATGAGCTCCAGAAGGCAAAGGCCATGAGCCCTTCTTCTGCCTGGTATATACTCAGTACTTGTTGTTGTTGTTGTTATGTGCCGTCGAGTTGGCCCTGACTGATAACGACCCCTTCTTGGGTTTCCGAGGCAGTATCATTACGGAAGTAGGATTGCCCAGCCTTCCTTCTGAGGACTGGCTGGTGGGTTTGAACCGCCAGCCTTCTGGTTAGCAGTCAAGTGCCTTAGGCAGTATGCTACCAGAGCTCCTTACTTAGTACTTGGCATGTGATTAAAACTCAATGAACATCCCTTGCAAAAGTGAATGAATGAATGTATATGTCAAGCAAGTCACACCTAATACCACCTCCAGAAGAGGAGTCCCATCACCTCTTAGGGTCACCAAGAAAGACATGACTCACACACAGGCAAAGATTAGATCAATTCTTTAGTCACATAGAGAAGAGACAGAGCAGTGTCAGCTTCAATACTGGCAGTCAATCCTCCAAGACCCAAGGAGAAGGTTTGCATGCATCTCCTCTCTGTCGTGAATAGATATAGATGTGGGTTTGGCCAGTTGGCATATAAGCCATCCCTGGGAAAGTTGACATGTTCTCAGGGAAAAAGAAATGGGTTTGCTGATAGACCACTGCCTGCTATGGAATGTGTTTTGTATCAGGAAGTTCCAGAAAAGGGTGTTAGTCCATACTCTCATCCCATCCAAGAAGCCAGGCCCACACACCTGGTCCTAAGTTCAAAGTTCATTTGTGAGTAACAGGAAAAGGTGACAGGTTGTACTTGGATTGCCCCCTTCCTTGGCATATTACAGCCTTGAAAATCCTATGGAGCAGTTCTGTTCTGAACACGTGGGGTTGCCATGAGTCAGAATTGACAGCAAAAAATAACAATAACATCATTCCTATATGTGATTGGAAGCTTCAAACTTTGTTTACCATAAAGCCTTGAGGAGCTGGACTTAAGGACTCTTATAAACAACAGTAGCAGTTCTTGGACTGGTACATTTGCTAGTAATTGTTAGATGTTCTTTGGCCCTCCCAATTCAGTTTGATAATATACTGCATGATAAGTTCATTTTATGGATCTTTTTTTTTTCCTTTACTAATTAAATCTTAGGAGCTCTGGTAGTGTAGTGCCTAAGGCACTTGACGCTAAACAGAAGGCTGGTGGTTCAAACCCACCAGCCACTCCTTGGAAGGAAGATGGGGCAATCTACTTCCATAATGATACTGCTTCGGAAACCCAAGGAGGGGTTGCTATGAGTCGGGTCTGACTCAACAGCAGATAACAACAACAACAACAATTAAATCTTAAAATCTTATTTTGCATAGTGTCATAGAGCTGTGATTAAAGTAAAGATTTTTACTGTGACTCAAGATTTTTAAAACCATAAATGTCTAATAACCACCAAAAAAAGGCTTGTTATGCCTATTATATATTTTAAAGGTATATTTTCCTTATATCTAGTAGTATTTTTCTTACCAATAAATGAAACAAAAAATAAAAATACATTCTAATAAACATTATGCTTTAATACTGTAAGTTTAATTTGAAACTTTTCATGATCTATGTATTTAAAAAGAAGCAAGAAGAAAAGTGTATTCACATTTAGGAAGCACCCCTGCTTCACTGCAGAGATCTGGGCACCTGCACAGGAGGCCTTTCATGAGTGATGGCCTCTGCTTTCCAGGGGTCTGTGGAGTCAGCATGGTAATTCACCCCAGGTTTGCAGAAGAGGACAAAGGAACTCAGAAAAAGAAAGTAACTTGCGCAGGGTCCCAGGATTAGGTACAAGGTCTGCCTGACTGCAAAGCCAGTACTTCACTGACTCCCAGCAGTGCAAAGCCCAAGAGGTCACAAACCTCTATTCATGTTTTCTTTCCTCTCCTGATGCTTTGATTATGATTTTGTGATTCCCTTATTTATTAGTGCCTATATGCATTTTTCCCTTTGTTTTTGCTTGTCCTTGGAAAATCTGTGTTCAATGGTTATTTCTCTAAAATCATTTGAGTTTTTATTCTCTGCTGTCCTCTCCTCTCCTCTCTTCTCTCTCTGTTCTCCTCCCCGTTTCTCTTCTCTCTTTTCATTTCCTGTTAGGATTACTTGAATTTTATGTTGAATTTCCCATCTCTCTATAATTTTTTTTTTCCTGAAATTTTTAAAATAAATTTTCTGGGACTTCATTCATCATTGTGCTTCTTGGTCTTCCATTTCCCAGCAGATTTTTTACCATTTCTTCATTCCTCACACTTAGATCTCAAGCTGTTGTTGTTATTGTGTCTTCTTTTGACAAATAAAACTACCAGCAAAGTAAGTAAAATATAATTTAGAAATGCTTCTGTTTTAAGCAAAATAGGTAAAGGAGCCCATGTAGTTAGAGATTTGAAAACTTCTTAATTTGGTTTCTGAGTTCTTGGGGAGTCGTGCTGTTGAAGTAGTATGAAAACAATCAACAAAGGATGACTCATCAGTGAAAATGCCAAACATGATAAAGTCCAGTCCATTGATAATGAGTAACTTTTCTGTCCTGACATACTCTGTTTTTTCTCTGTCTTGAGCCTGCAATATTTATTTTTCATTTTTATGTACCTCATCTTTCATTTATAGCTTTATCTCTCATCTATTTTATTTTGTTCCATACATCCCTTATATGGTCTTATCTTTATTGGATTATTATATTTTACATTAACTTCTATAATTTGTTATTTTCCCTCTTTTTTTATTATAGAAGATATTGTACTAAATACAACCTCATTTACTCTGTCTAGAAACTTGATGGAAGAGATATTATCTACCCACTTTACAGGTGAAGAAACTGAGGCTAAGCAACTCTTGAGTTAATCATAGTATCAGTAAATGCCAGAATTAATTAATGTTAGAATTCAAACCCAGATCTGTCTTTCCAAAGTCCTTGCTCTTAATTACATTGTAAGTTACTTAATCACATTGTATATTACCTAACAAATCTTAATCCCAATTTCTTCATCATATAATAGAGAATTTGGCATAAATTATTTTAAAAACATATCCTATGATACCATATGGTCTGTCAACCTTTCAGTAAGTAGAACACTGAGAAGGGAGAAATATCAAGGTATTTAGAGCTAAATTGGCTTCTTACTATCTTTTCCTAAAAAGGGAAGAAAAACATATATGTGTATATATGTATGTGCATACATGTATATAAATATGGCATATATATATGTATGTGCATGTCTGTGTATGTGTGTCATGTATATGTGTCACTGGGCAATGTGCTTAAAAGGGATATCATTTGGCTGAAGGAGACAAGAACAAATGTCTTTCCTTGTTTTAATGTTTTGAAAATGTTCGATAATTTTGTGTCATTTTGACATTATTTACTCTCTTAATACAAGGATATAAGAATCACGTAAGATCTAGGTTAATAATTGGATCCTTAAGTCATGTCCTAGCAGGCCAGGTTGGAGCCTACAAATTGTATTTTTAATTTGCACCTCAGGTGATTCTGTTACTTGTGGGCTACAGACTATAATGTGCAAAACATTCTATTAAAAAATGAAATGAGATACCGTTAGCATTTCTCTTTTACTGATTGATAGGGAGTTATTTGGTGAATTAGTTCTACATATACCCAATCACCTATCAGTGTAGTGAGTGGTAAAACTGAATTCAAAACTTAAAAGTCCTCAAAACCCAATGAATTACTTGGTTTGTAAGGTGTCTAGTTCTATCTGCTCAGGCCGACTTAGGTTTTAATGTTTCTTTCTTTCTTTTTTTTTAAGCAAAAGAACTTCTTTTGGGGAAAGGGAAAAAATAACAAAGTATTGATCTTGTCAGTCAGTGAGCACTTTAGTTAGGTGCCATTGTAGGATAGCTTTCAAGTCCAGAAACTACAGGAACTGACCATGGACTAAAACTCTGTAGGTGCAGGTTCTTTTGCCTTGAAGTATAGCCATGCTGACATCTTTGCCTTAATATCTGCTCAGGATGACATTTTTTGTCTAAACTTACTTGCTCATGGTGACAGAGCTTGTGTTCCAGGGCACATCCTTGTGTTCCAGGCTAAACAGCTTGGGCGATCAGGTATGAACAGTGATGAGGAAGGCTCAAAGTCAGCATGGGAAAAAGGGTGGAACTTGTGTATTAGCACCCCAGGAGGTGCTTTTCCAAACTTGGCAGAACTTCTTGCTGCTTTGCATAACCTTCTAGAAAATGAAATTATTATTGATCCATTTAGAATGACCTTTTAGTAGTCTAGGCAGATTCACAAAGCTGGCAATAGTTTCTTTTTTAGTTGTCCATGATACATTTGACAGATGTAGAATGTGTTAGTCACTAGCTAGCTGCCTCTGCTCTGGTCAGCATGATCAGGAGAATTCATTAGCCTAACTGAATTTATGGGAGCTCTGGTAACGTAGTGGCTAAGGCACTTGACTGCTAAACAGAAGGCTCGCGGTTCAAACCCACCAGCCACGATGGGGCAATCTACTTCCGTAGTGATACTGCCTCGGAAACCCAAGGAGGGGTCGCTATGAGTCAGGGCCAACTCGACGGCACACAACAACAACAACAACTGAATTTACAGGAGCTCTGGTAGCATAACGCTAAGGCACTTGACTGCTAACCAGAGGGCTAGTGGTGAACTATCAGCCACTCCTCGGAAGGAAGGTTGGGCAATCTATGTCTGATACCACCTCGGAAACCCAAGGAGGGGTCACTGTGAGTCGAGGCCAACTCGACAGCACATAACAACAACAACAACTGATTTACACTTTTAGAAATTACTTT